ATCAAAAAAAGATGGCGGCGCCCAGCAAACCAGCGGCCCGGTAGGACTCGTTCCACGGACTGGTACCGGTCTGCGGACCGGTGGTTGGGGACCCCTGGCGTAGGGAATTCGATGGTGCGCAGAAGAGTGCAAACCCTTTCTCGTAAAGTACTTCCGAACCCGCTCAATTGTGCTAATATCCGATATCGGGTAGGGATCCCAAACAGTTGAACAGTACGCCGAGGTTTTTATCATGTATTCTGAGTGATTTTTTGTTCTTAGCTGAGTTCCTAGGCCTCACCGTGTGCCAAACCTAAGAAAGACTCGTTGCTGACAGAAGGAAGATGGTGTTCAAGAACTTACCCTCTGCTTCTGCTCCTCTGTCCGGACATCGCTGCGGACGTTAGCCCAGGGAATGTCCTCTGGCCACCAAATCGGTTTGCAGCTCTCCTTCCCCCAGCCTGGCTTTCCGCGACCCGTTGAGTATTTCAGCATTTCAGGGATGAAAGCCCTCAGCTGGGCCTGTGGCATTAAGGGGAAAATAATAACGATAACAATAATAACAATAATAACAATAATGATGTAAAGATTGGGGAAGCAAAGGCCTGCATCAGGTAGTCCTCGAATGTTATATGTAGAAATTACATATTATGAGTTACACCTGTGGAAATGAAGAACAGAAGGGAAGCCATACTTATCCGATACGTGAACTATGCAATGATTATTGGACAGTTATATAACTCTATCTAATAAACATGTACTGTTTGGTAACTTGTTATGTTCTAAAGTAAGGCTTTTGGGTAGAACACGGGCCTGTACTTCTCGGCATAAGGATATGTGTAGGAGATACCAGGTTATCCCTGTCTTGAAAGGAACTGGGTAATGATCTATTGTATTACAGATGGTCATAACAGGACCATAAACAGGAAGAAGAAGCCATGAGAACGAGGATAGTTTCCAAGAACAAGGAAACAGGTGCTAGACAACAATAATATGGGCGTGGCGTAGGAAGATACGTAGCTTGAATAGATTGTGAACCCAGGAAAGGAGCAGAGACTGTATATCTGAACCTGTATATAAACCCCAGCCTTCCTGGGAACCATGTCTTCTGCCATGAGCAGAATTCCCTTTTGCAAAAGCTTAATCATAAAGCTCTTGTTCACATATCTCCAGTTGTTTTGTGATTATTATCACATCGAACTTACAACAATTCATTACAACGGCACCGAAAGAAGCGATTGATGAACATTTTTCGCGCTTACGACCTTGTCAACTCATAAAATATTTCTCTGGTCTTTTTAGAGTTGGCAATACCATTCGGTCAGAATTGAAGCAGCTTCTTGGATGAGAAGCGAAATGTCTTCAAGGAAAAAAAAGGGAAAATTCAGTTGCTTTTTGGGAAAAAAAAGCACCTTTGGGACAGGACAGGAAAAATATTGAATGCTTTCGAAGTCTGGAGTTGGAGAAGATTCTTGAGGACACCAAAACAAAGCCAACAAGGGACCATCAACCAGATCGATCCACGGTTCTCACTTGAGATATGTTTCTGCAGCTGTTCTTCAATCCTTCTAGATTTCCCATGAAATCGCTATTTACATTTCGCAAATTGCATTGGAAATCCTTGCCGGATGAACCGTGGAACCTACAAATGTTGTGTGTCATGTACAACGATGCTGCACAAAATGAAGATTATTATTTTTTTAACCCACGGGGAAATGCTGCCGTGTTTAGGGTGTATTTATCTGCAGAGTCGCTGATTCTGACCCCTGAGAGTTGCATCATCCTCTACAGGACTCTGCGGTGTTCTTTTCTTCACGGAGAAACACACCGTTATTGAGGGGTGCGTTTGTCCTCCAGGATAGATATCAAGTGAGGGAAGGCTGGAGATTTGGCCCCAACTTAGCACCCCAGGAATTGAATGATCAATTGATTGATTATGTGTCATGAAGTTGGTGTTGGCAAGGAAGTTTTTTTGGTCTTTTAGCTTTTGCATTATCTGTTTTGAATGGTGTGTACATGTCGCTTATCTCTATGTGCCCGTTGATGGCTGATTTGTCTGATTGCCATGCACTGAGGAATTCTCCAGCATTTTTGGACCTGGCTCGGTCTACGATGCTCCTATCGACCACACTGATAGATTTGGCTCTAATTTAGCACCAGGATATCGACGGATCAATTGGTTGATTATGTGGCACGAAGTTAAGTGTTGGCAAGGAAGTCTTTTTAGCTTTTGGATCATCTGTTTTGAATGACGTGTACATGTTGCTTATCTCTATGTGCCCGTTGATGGCTGATTTGGTGTCCAGGAATTCTCTACCATGTTTGGACCTGGCTCGGTCTATGATGCTCCTAGGGACCACACAGATAGATTTGACTCTAACTTTGCAGAAACAGACTTCAGGAACTGATCAAAGAAAGGTTCTCGTTTGCCCAGGTCAGGTCTTCCAACAGTGCGCCCATCATACCTCGGCACCCCACTGCTTCAAAACTCATTGAATTCAGTTTTCAATATGTTTTGAAACTGAAATCTTGTCCCGGCCATCCTCTTTCTCCCTGTATTCGACGTGCAAGGAAGAACTTGCTCACGCTGGCTGTCTTGTGACTCGCTATGCCTTCTGGCTGAAATAGCAGGACATGGGTCTGAAGCGATTCTCAGTCATCCAGGTCATGGTTGTCCCAAATGTGCTTTTTCAGGAGGCAACTGAACTCTGGGTTGATCGTCTAATCGTCCATCTGTTTAATGTCTGCAGAGGTTTTAGTTTGTCCAGGTCATAGTTTTTCGCCAGTTAGTCAGAACTGAAGAAGCTTCTTAGATGAGAAAGCGAAAGGTCTTAAAAGAAAAACCAGAAAGTCCAGGTGCCTTTAAAATAAAAGCCCCTTTGGGAGATCCATTTGTTTGTTTCCTTGGCTGTCTGTGGTCTTCTCAAGAAACTTCTCCAACACCCAAGTTCAAAAGCATCAATAGAGGTAGTTCCCGGTTTACAACCATTGATTTAGCGACGAAGTTACAACAGCACTGAAAAAGGCGACTTATGACCGCTTTTCACACTTACGACCGTTGCAGCAATCCCCACGCTCACGGGATCCAAATTTGGATGCTGGGCAACTGGTTCGTATTTATGACGGTCGCAGTGTCCCCGGATCCCCTTTTGCGACCTTCTGGCAAGCAAAGTCAAAGGGGAAATCGGATTCACTTAACAACCGTGTTATTAGTTTGACAACAGCAGGGATTCACTTAACAACGGTGGCAAAAAAAAAAGGGCGTAAAATGGTGGGAAAGCCTCAACCATTGGAAATTTCTGGCTCAATTACGGCCAACCTGTGTGCTCTTCCAATCCTGCTTCTTCGAAATTCAATTCTTGGTTCCACAGAGGGTAACGGGCGATATTCTGAGTCATACCCTGAGAATATGTGGCTGCGAAATGATGAAATCTGATAGCATGATTTCGGATCCACTCCTCCTCCTCCTCCTCCTTTTTCTCTTGGTAGGAAGGAAAGGGAGTGACTTACTTTCCCCCAAGGCTTTCTGAAAACCTTTTTAAAGAGGTCAAACGACAGGAATGGAAAATTTTATTCCTCCGAAATCTGGGGAGTGAATGGCAGGGCACAATTGCTTAATCCCTTATGTGTCCAATCACACTTGGCCAATAAAGTATTCTATTCTTCTTAAGAGCTGCCTGTCTTTGATTTCAAGACTGCAATGGCCACCCTCCCTTAACTCAAAGAACGTTTCTCTCTCTCTCTCTCTCTACTCCAGGTATGAAATCCAAGATTTTTCAGGTGTCCCTAATCATTCCATGAAGAGGTATAATAGCTATGGAAATAATCGCCCTATAGTGCCCCCTAGTGTCTACTAAATAACATGGCAATGATTACATTGCAGTATAATATCATGATCAGAAAGCAGCTTAAGTAAGCTTTTTTTTTAAATAAAAATTTTTTTAAAAAATTGTTAAGCCACAAAAAAGGTGCTGAGTTTCGTACACTGGTGTTTCCCAGCCTTTGGGACTTGAAGAGGGGTCGATTTCAATTCCCAGAATTCCCCAGCCAGAAGGCTGAGTCCAACACATCCTAAAAGTACCGATGGAAGAGGATATTTGTAGCTCAGGGTTGAGCTGTGGGGGCCCTTGATGCTCTCTCTCTGAGCTTGGTGGTTTTCTTGCAGACGTTTCATGACCCAGCTAGGGAACATCATCAGTGCTGGAAGGGAAAGGCGGAGGAGGAGGAGAAGAAAGGAAGAGAAGGAGGAGGAGGAGGAGAAGAAGGGAAGAGAAGGAGGAGGAGGAGAAGGGAAGAGAAGGAGGAGAAGGAGGAGAAGAAGGGAAGAGAAGGAGGAGGAGGAGGAGGAGAAGGGAAGAGAAGGAGGAGGAGGAGGAGAAGAAGAAGGGAAGAGGAGGAGGAGAAGAAGAAGGGAAGAGAAGGAGGAGGAGGAGGAGAAGAAGGGGAGGAGGAGGAGGAGGAGAAGAAGGGAAGAGAAGGAGGAGGAGGAGGAGGAGAAGAAGAAGGGAAGAGAAGGAGGAGGAGGAGGAGAAGAAGAAGGGAAGAGAAGGAGGAGGAGAAGAAGAAGGGAAGAGGAGGAGGAGGAGAAGAAGGGAAGAGAAGGAGGAGGAGGAGAAGAAGAAGGGAAGAGAAGGAGGAGGAGGAGAAGAAGAAGAAGGGAAGAGGAGGACTGTAAGGTCCTTGGTGCTCTCTGAGCTTGGTGGCTTTCTTGCAGACGTTTCATGACCCAGCTAGGGAACATCATCAGTGCTGCAAGGGAAAGGCATTTGCAAAAGAGAAGGGGAGGTGGAGGAGGAGAAGAAGGGAAGAGAAGGAGGAGGAGGAGGAGAAGAAGAAGGGAAGAGAAGGAGGAGGAGGAGAAGAAGAAGAAGGGAAGAGGAGGAGGAGGACTGTAGGGTCCTTGGTGCTCTCTGGGCTTGGTGGTTTTCTTGCAGACATTACATGACCCAGCTAGGTAACATTATCAGTGCTAGAAGAGAAAGGGGTTTGCAAAAGAGAAGGGGAGGAGGAGGAGAAGTACTTTGGGATCCTTGGTTACATGACCCAGTTAGGTAACATCAACAGTGCTGGAAGGGAGTGGGGTTTGTGGAGAGGAGGAGGAGGAGGAGGAGGAGGAGGACCACCGCAGGAGCTTGGTGCTCTCGGAGGTTGTTTCCTTGCAGAAATTTCATAACCCCAAAAGGTAACAGCGTCAGTGCTAGGAGGAGTGGGGTTATAGACATAGGAAGCAAACCCCTCTCCCTTCTAGCATTGATGATGTTCAGTGTTGGGTCATGAAACATCTGCAAGAAAACCCAACCAAGCTCAGAGAACACCAAAGACCCCACATCTTAAAAAGTCCCCAAGATTTAAAAAAAAATAAAAATGATGCCATAGACGAACATGTTTCCCCAGAGAATCCCAGGTCTTTCAGCACGGGACCCTCCCTCTGCCCCAAAGGAGGCCTCCTTCCTCTACGCAACGGGCCCTCTTCAGCTCACCCCAAAGACCCTGTGATTGATTTTATTTTTTTAAAACCTGCTTCTTACGATCGCCTCTTCTTCAAGGGAGAAGCAGGCCAAGGGCAGAGATGGAGAGAGAGAGAGAGAGAGAGATGCTTCTATTCAGGGGCCGGGGGGGGGGGGGGTCCGTACGCTCCACCTGGCTGCTTTCAGAAGTTCTATTTTGGGGTCCCCCAGATGGATTAATTAGGAAGCCAGAGTTCTGCACCACGCCGAGCACTTGCCCGGGGGACGCAATCAACGAGAGCCACGCACAAGCGAGCCCACTCAGGCAGGAGAGCTTTAATGACGAGCAGAACGGGACCAGCCGTCAGCACCGTCCCTGCGCTTCCCCAGGACTAATCAGGGTTCTCAAAACAGCCCAACATGCCCAAGCCTCCATTTCAGAGTCCAGGTTTCGCAGCTGGCGAGGCCTCCCTGGCGTGTACAGGCGGTCCTGGGCTTAGGGTCGCAACGGAGCCCCGTTTTTCTGCTTTGGCTAAGCGGGACCGCCGTTGAGTGAGGTTTTGCCACCGTTTTAGGTCCTTCCTTGCCATCATTTGTTCAGTAAACTGTTGCAGTTGTTAAGTTAGCCACACAGGATGTGAAGGGAATTTGGCTTCGGAGGCTCAGGAACGGACTCGTATTTATCTATTTAGAAAAGGTGTATTGCCATCTGCTCTCACAGGGCGACTCCGGGAGGTTTATGAGGACAAGTAGAATAAAAACACAGTAGAAAGGAAGGAAGGAAGGAAGGAAGGAAGGAAGGAAGGAAGGAAGGAAG